TGAGACTGGAGAGGAAAAATGCGGAACCTAGCCCTACCGCACTGAGACAAAATGAGAAAGAAAAACTGACAGTTGGGGCTGTCCCGAGGAAAACTCAGTGTCTGGGGCTTCGTGCATAACTGCGGTAATGTGAAGTTCAGTGGGTTCACAGTGGCTAGGCCTCAAATTCCTTGGAAAGGCTCGGTTGTTACTTACACAGTCTGAGTCGCCGTCTGATGATTGCATGTTTGAGGTGAGGCCGGTGAAATATGCGCACGTTTCGTGGAGCTTCACCAGCTCAGCGGCAGTAAGTTTACCCGGCCTGGATTCCACACCTTCATAAACAGCCACTTGTGCAAGTGTTGTAATTCATTTCGTTGACCGGTAGTTACCAAGGGAGATTAGTGCGCGGAGAGAAACTAACAAAAACCTTTTTAAATAAATTTTGTTATTAGTATTATCATAACCCCCTTTTCACATCTTGGATCCCCTTAAAAATGTTTCCCATCCAATGGCCTCCCGGAAATTCTCTGTGGTCCTCAGGGGGGGCCATATGATCTAGACCGCCACACTAGCATCGCATCAATGATTCATTTGTTCCAAATCGTGCGGGCTGTAAACACGTGCACTGACCGTCTGCACTTCTGTTTCCTTCTAGGTGATAATGACGAAGCAATACGTTTGGCTCACATACTCCATGATGAACTTTCATTCGATAAAGAAATGCTGGTCCCACCGAATGATCCAGATGCACCCTGTGTGAATGCTCCACGCTTACTGAACATGTTGTGTGAGACGATGGCTCGATGCTATCTGCAACGAGGAGATGCGATCATTCCTCTAAGGAGGGACGAAGCTGTTGCTACCTTGATAAAAGCGCTGGACTATGCGGTGGAATGTGAGTGAAGAATGTCATTTGGGGAGAACAACAGCTACTTATTATTCTGGCTTTGAACGTTTAAATTCCGTGATGTATTACACATATGAATCATCTGTTTCCGTTGGTCGTTAATTGTAAGGATACCCCCAAACGAAAGGGCCTGAACAGACACAAATGCATTAATCTCAACGTGTCACTAGACTTAACCCAGCGGCCAATGTGGTGTTTAGCGCTTGCTCCGACAGGAGTCACACCAGAGGGGTTGGTGTGATCACCATCGTTTATCGAACTGGTCTGTGACCACAGTGGATGAGGGGCGAGAGTAAAGTATTTTTTGAAACACTGAGTCCCCCGGGATTCATTTCCTTAACGCAGTGAGAAGACATAGATTGCGAAACGTCAACATTTCGATTACTCTAGTCAGTCGCAACATAACACAGGCAAGAAAAATGCGGGGTTACATAGGGTGGTAGCCAAGTAACAAAATTCGTATATAAAACACAATCATAAAACGCAATCTAACTGATGGCCTTCGTTGCTAATGAATCAAGAACACTGGACAATTAATTTGCATGAGTAGGGCCTCACTGATTGTCAACAGGTTAGAATTCCTACTGCGCAATAACACCTTGAAGGAGCTGATCCGGTCCACCGGATGATGAGTCATCATAACGATTTTAGCGAAAATGTCGTGGGATTCCTGTTCATCCATTCAGTATTGTTGTATGGGTGCGAGTCCTGGCCGATTCGCGTGGAAGACATGCGTCGTCTTTCTGCCTTCGACAACGGTTGCTTAAGGAGGATTGCTCGTATTTAGTGGCAACATCGAGTTAATAGTAAGGACGTTCGACATCGCATCGTTGGGAATTGTTGGAGATGAAAGTAAACTACAGGTATGAATCTGTAGCCGTTCATGACTACAGACTTTAGTTCTACCATGGAGGTTCACCGATGTTTGTCTTAACGCATCATTTCGTCATCCCTATCGGCTATTTGTAGTCGTTGTTTTTGCCTTCAGATCGCAGGCATACTTTGACGCTATCACTCCCACCTTACGTCCCTTGTGTGCACTTGATTGGTTCCCCATTTGTTACGCTCTTATTGGCTTTAATTGTCCGCTTGCTTTCCGCACCATGGTCGGCTTACATGCTTGTGCGTTATGCTATATAACGACCTGGTTTCCCTATGTAGAAAAACTCCTTGAATGTCTGTCCCTGATCGTTCGTGTTCTCACTACCGTTAGTGGGTGGAAGCAGTCGCGGGGCGCACACAACAGGAATGCGAGTATTTCCTTCAACAAACTGGTTTTGTTGCGCCAGTTGAGATGGCTCGATCACGTCCTACGCATGGCACCTGAGCCTCTACCGCGTCGAGCCCTATTCGCTCGTCAAGGACCTGGCTGGAGGTGACCGCGTGGTGATCAGCCTTCTACATGGCGGCAGCATATGAAATCGCTGACGTCGTGTCTAGCCGCTGTTGGACCCGTACGTCTTCCAGGATGGGGACCCAAAGATGAGGAGTGCCAATGGCTTAACACTCTTGAAGACATGACCCGAAACCGGAATCAGTGGAAGAATTGTGTACAGTACTGTATTGATTCACATGTTTAATACTACACATTGAAAAGGACAAAAAAGAGAAAAATCGGCGTGTGAAAAACAAACTAAAAATGTTTTTTCTACTTTTCGTCAAAATGTTCCTTTCTTCCTGCGGCATATTAGCTGAAGTGTGTTGCTCACCTTCAACTACCATGCCACGATGATTATGACGCAATAACTGTCTCTTATCCACTGATCTCCATAGTTTTCTGTTGGCTCTTTGTCTAGTTGTTAGACTGTTGAGATCACACACACACACACACACACACACCATTATACTGCCTCAACGATTGCCTTAGCAACTTTAGAAAGTGTTCAGCTACAAATTGTGACAGTGGACGATCACTCCACCCTATGTTAGTGTCGCCGTAACTGCACGTGTACCGATGAAGAATGTTAGAGGCCAAACTGTATAGCGAGATGTTCTGATAGCTGTTAAGAACAAACCTTCGCGTGGCGCGGACGAGTCGCAGTTGGGCGGTCGTGTATATGCGTGTTAGATCGGAGATGAGTTTGTGCCTAATGGTTGCAAAACGACCCCATGTGAACGGCAGGAACAAATAATTATCATTCTTTCCCGTCGATTTCAATGGTGGCCTTTCCTTCGGGGGTCTACCGCGGACCTGTATGAAGTTCTGCAGGTATCCACGGAGAGCATGGTCTCAAGCAAGAGTTCTTCATCAGTCCTTGGCGTCTCGGGACTGCAGATGCGCCCGGTCTTGCAGAGTAGTGTTTCCACATGGTCGCGTTTCTATGCAACCGAGGTGTCGCAACTGACGAGAGCAATCCAAATGTTAACATTTCGCAATCCATATCTTTTCACTGCGTTGATAAAGTACTCCGTTCGTTTAGTTAGCGGATTCAAAACCGCATGAAAATTACTTTTACAGTCACCAGAAGGCGGCAAGAGAATGCTTACGTGCAGTGTCGGAGTCTCTGGTGGCATTTTTGAATCACTAGGTGGGACAACGCCGACTCTATCATCAAATTGGTATAAATACTTTATCTTACCTTCGTGCTGTGCTTATCTACCAGCTTGGGCACATACGGAAATGTTCGAAAGATTTATAATTCACCATGTTTTAAATGAGAAATCAACATTAATTCGTTCGAACAGGTATATTCCTGGACTCAAAGGCAATCGTAACTTAGAGGTGAGTTTAACCTGGAGTCCTAGATGGGCTTACTGAGTTATTTTGACTCTGTTAAGGTACAGTTGCCCGTGTTATCCGGGTTGAAACTTTAGCGTATAGTTCCGCTACCTCTTCTCTCGCCGTTCCTGAAGCCAATCATCTGCGTTACCTTAAGTGGAGCAAAATGAGGATTTATGGATTTATAAAGCGTGCCGTATCCCATTTTCCATCTTTTGAACATCCAATCCACATTCTGCTAGCCAGGAATCTTGTATAGTATACTTTCGCAATCAGTCTCGATAGATTTTACTCTAACAAGTGGAAAAACAATAACATACTACTGGAAGAAAAGCATTTGGAGGTTTCTGCTGTAAGTGGCACTGGACTGGTAGACAATATGCGTGACTATGCTCACAGACAAAGCCGACATAACTGCCTCCAGTAGGATGTGTTTTGTCCGGCTTCATACGATAACTACCACACCAACACCTCTATACGCGAAACTGACTGATGTTCCCGTTTCGTGTTTCCTTCAGCTGGAAACCAAAGTATTGTGGGGACATGCCTGCTTCGTATCAGTCGACTGTACGAAGAACAGGATAATCCGGAACTTGCCTACAAAGTAATTGTTCCATTAAAAGGATGAAAAGGTGCCATTTAGTATGCTGAAGAATACCATCAGCTATCGAAGAAATTGGAGAATGACCATCAGATAAACGCGTGCAGGCTAATGGTTGATATACATGAGAAGTAAGTACCCCTCCATTAACTCAGATTTGTCAATTACAACGTTTAATAATGACAAATAGTAGCAATAATTATGTTCCGCGAAGCGATGAACAAAGCTTGTGATGCATCATAAGGCGATGGAAATTTGGCGAATGGTTGCATTCGAATTCGTTAACACTATGCCACATTTATGAATTCGAAAAACTTCGCAATTGGGCAGATAGGAAGTCGTGAAATGCCTACGGCGGATGTCCTAAGAAATTCATTTAATTCCCTAGTCTAAAATTTGCTTCACTGTGAGGGTGTCTGCTAGATATACGGTGTCGTTTTGATGCTTCATTAACCATAGAGGCCATGATGAAAGTAACATCGAGGCGCTGAGAGTTGAAATTATCCGATGAAATAGTGCGATAGAAAGCTGTACAGTTTAGTGCCACACACAAGTGTACACTATTTGCTGGCCAAACATAAGCGTACAAGTCACTGAACCCCAACTCGTGAATACAAAGCCAATCCGATATGGCAAAACGACGACGACGAAGTACGAGGTCAAGGCAGTGAAATATGACGACTGACTGTTTAAGTTTCAACTTGCGTCTCCTTGTAGTATCCCAACAGAGAGTGCTGTTATAGTAGCGCACTGGGGTTGTTCAGGCCGTGGTTCTTGCTCTCGTGCATGGCGGTGTGACTAGATAATGTCTCGGCCTAAGATGGAACACAGTACCACTAGCAGCTGACGACTTCTTGGCTCCGCTTCGGAGGCACATGCCACATCACGGATGTTCACACCGCGTGGCACTATGCTTGACCATTCACACGCACACAAACGTGATATGCATATGCACAACTCATCGGGTTGTGCACAGATTCATACAGCCCATTTACTGCGTTGCAGACAGCAAAGTGTACAAACACACTGGTCTGCTGTCACATTAGCGCTCAGCCCCGGATTGGGCAATAAGACTTGTTGGAAGTTTGTGAGTTTGTGCCAACTACGGAGAAAACAAGAGGATGCAAACGTCACGCATCGGATCCGCACGCACACACGATGGTCCAATAGTTGCGCGTGTGCATAACCAATCATTTCCGGCGTCGACCAATCAGCACACAGCTGCAGTTATTCCAATGGCTACTGGCGGACAGTGGATGAACATCGCCGCTTACCAGCGTAACACGCAGCCAAGGCGCGACTGGTGAGGAAAAGGGATGTTGGCCAATATTTCAGGGGTAGAGCGAAAAACCGTGCAGCAGGTCCAGCGTTGCTAAGTGGATTAAAGGTAGTTGTAGTGCACCAAAAGATTACAAAGCCGGCCGCTTTGATTACCAATGTTAACGAAGTGTCAGGAAGCACTACAGACTTGCTCCAATCAATATATGATTATAAGTTTCCCGGAGCTTAATCAGACCGGATCTGGAGCTCGCTTTACCTACGTCGTGCTGGCAAATTGCATCCTGTAGGGTGTTTGCCGATGCTGCTAGCAGCTGGGTGAGTCTTATAGATGGTAAAATAGTATGAATGTCCTGCCGAAAGACGTTATCCGACCGGTTTTTGCCGCCATCCCTGATGGGGTTCTCGATATGGAGCAATATATAGCACAAAAATGATGTTGGATCCAATCTACCAGTTTACGATTTAATCAGGTTTCTTTTTATGCTAGCCTCTCCGCGTTTTCCCATAAATGCAAATTACTACTGTTATTGTGGTGCGCAGCTGTATTAAAACGAGTCCGCTAGCATCTGGCATAACTTCGTACTTCAGTGCGCCATACCCTCTCGTTGTACGTCCCATAGTACAGTGGGCGTACAACTAACGTCGATTGCACAATTGGTTGACTTAGATCTCAGTGAAATTTGTGGACAGTCAGTTAATTTAGTTAGTTGGTAACGTTTCGCTTTTGACACAAAAGCTTCATCTGAACAAGTAAATAAAGCAACAGATTGTCCAAGAATTTCACTGAAACCATCGGTTCCAAGTAGATTGCAATGGTTGAGTTAGACTTTCCTGCTGTGCACTACTTCCCGTTGGACAGACTTCATGAGTCCTGCATGTCCTCTAGTTCAGTCGAACTATCGTCCGTCAACTCTAATTGGTCCAGAAGCCGCACTCTGAGCGGTCCCTCCGAGTGAATTCCCGATAAGCAAGCATATTTGCGAAGGTCTGAGTCATAGACCCTCTGTCATCTCTTAAATGTGTGCACTGTTCCGAATAACCGGTTTTTGCTGATTCGTCCCGCTAGTCCGAAAAGCATCAGTCGGTTGTTTCGCTATGTTGGGGCCCGTCAGTTCTGCGCATCCTTCGACTACACCGGTAACTGAAGACAATAGGGCGAAACGGCTGTCGGATGCATTCCCGGATTGGTTGCCTTGAGAATTACTAAGAGGAATCAGCAAAATTTCATTAAATATCCCCTACCTGAACATCCATTTTATCTATTCCCATCTCCATGATCCCGACGTTAGCGAATTTGCAACAAGGTGTGGCATCATGAGATGATATCATTGGTTAGGAAGTAGTAGACCCAATCTTTTTATTCATTCGGGTGTTCTAATTGTGGATTTTATTGTGACAGATAGCTCATAACAGTCGTCCAAAAGACTGATTTATAGGTGGTTAGACGCTAGCACATTGTTTCTGCTTCCGTTCCCTTACTACTAACTGCGCAACACTGCAGAATGCTCTCCACCTGGAAGCAGACTATTCTTTTATCACAGTTCCACTTCACACCAGGTGCCGGATGAGCGCCACAAGCAGTACAGGCAAAGAGAACTACCTTCTTTGATTTCAGGAGAGCATTTGCTCAAACAATCGCGTCCTCATTTTAATACCCTTAGCTTGGAAAGCGTGATGTCATTTCATGCAGTGCAAAAACCGGAGCTACATTCACGAATCTCCAACGCTTTTAACACGATAGTGGGATTTTCATGATTCGTTAACACCATGCCTCAGGAACACATGGAGGTTCAGTGGCTTCGACAGTTAACCATTAAGCGCCGAGTTCCACTCCAAGCTCAGGATATCTCTTCCTGACGAGTCCACAGGAGAATGAAAACGGTCGTGCGGTACCAGTGTTGGGAGGAGGAGGAAGCACCGGAACTCATGCAATACGTGAAGGGTCTTTCCAGTTGGTGGCACTCGAAGAGATTCCAAGTACCATTCAGTCATTGACTGTTCTTCTCTGTGGAGCACCAGTGGTGTCGGATAGCATCAGAGATATGGCGTACGGCAGCGTACTGTGCGGTGACGATCGGATTGTCTCGTTAGACTTGCCCGATTATCAGGATTCCCCAAATCTCCTATCCGAACAGCTTGGGGAGAGTGTGTGTAGTGAGATGTTGGAAATCCCGCCTAGTACATATCTTTGCGGGCACATCATAATATTTCTGTCTCAGCAGGTTGAATACGCGAGAAACACCTAGAGAACCCCAAACAGATAGTCAGCCCAAATGTCACAGGGAAGACTTCATCCCCCAAAAATAAGAATGCCCACTGAAGGTAGAAGTCGCAAAGTGGTTGGTGAACTGCTTGCCTCTATTAGAAGCAAAGCGTCTGATGTGCATAAAGGAACGGAGAAGCGGACACTTGCGACTTGTAGGCGAGTGTCAGGTGATCAACTACCATGTCCGTCTAAACTGCACTTAATAAACACACGTAAAGGACTATTTGGTCTGGAAACTGCTGCGAGTAACCCTGCTCCGCCCTAACAGCTTCTAAATGCTGTTGTACATTGCCACTGTCAGCCGGAGCCGTGTCTCTCGATACGAACCCTGTCCACTGCAAGATGTGCCATATCACAGTTCGTTTAGAAATCAGGAGGATCCACCGCTGTTCCCCATAGAGAGCAGTGGCATAAGCTGCTGGCTAACGGCGCAAGCCGTTGTTGTGCTTTGATTTGGATCCAGATGCGTCTCATGGATGAACACTACTGACGTCAAGGTAGGAAGAAACGGCCGTCTGGTGTTCTTTCCGGCATGTGGAGCACTATCTAACTTAGAAGCTGTTGCGACGATACCCCAAAGTATTTGCATAAAAAATCACGTATTCATGAGTATGGCAAATGGCACAGTGTATTCAGCTCCCAACACGAGTGACAATCAAGCAAAAGTTACAATGAGCACTTCTGTTTCCCTGTGCTTCTCGATGACAGTGGAGTTCCTTGTAGAGCAGCAGCATCATCGTGCACATATTCGAAATTCGACTCTGCTGGAATTAAGGCTGTACACACAGTCTTTTAGAATATCTTATTTCTCATTACATGTGACGTCGTATACCTGCATGTACGTAGCTGTTGTGATTATGCTGGGGCGCATCTCAGACGGCATGTGACTATGCTCAAATGGGAGTATCACCGTCTGTGAAAACTGTTTATCGGTCCCAGCAATCTCGATTACATTTTACCGAATACTACCGTTTCTCACACACCCGCCAACTATAGGCTTCTGTAAACTCTGTTTTATCAATACATGAATCAACATGTAGTGGCAGTTGCTAAATAAGAGAAGACGAATAATTTAAAGGTATGTGAGAACGTCAACAATCGGGTAGCACCAGTATGTCTGGGTGTAGTGCAGGTATCTGTCTATGGTTATTTGGGATTGAAGGTAGAAGGTATCAGCAATACCCCGGTGCGTAGTACCGACGTATCGCTGCCGCGCAACCACCAACAGTTTCGAGTAAGCTAGAGATACTGAGAGGGATGCCCGGTTTTCTATTTAGGCTCGAAACTGCGTCCTCAGATTACAAGGGATGCTTGTGATCCCTTAGGCGTCAGGTCTGGGATTGGTTCAAGCTTGAATCAACGATGTGCAAGTAACTCTGAAGTGGGGAGAAATACGATTGTCCAGAAAGCTTGGAGAGGTCGAACAGCATCCGGCAAACGGAATTTGATCCACGGAACAGTACCAAACGAGAGGACCAGCCAACCACAAGCCGCTACGACTGCAGTGAAATGCAATCCGATACGCTATGCAAATAACAGTTTATATTGTGGCTGGCAGATTTTGATCGAATTCCAGCACTTGTTATCTCTGGAGAGCTACACAACACCACAGGAAGACAGGAGGATAACATCGCAAAGTGGTCAATGGTATATTGCGGAGAAAAAACGTCGAAGCATGACATGTCCCGCCAGATGATCAATTAGGGATGAGCAAAATGAAGGCAGAAAATAGTAACAGGAGAAACTGGCCAACCACAGTGTCCCCCGTCTGAGCAGTCTACACTTGATTTCATGTATTATGCAAGAACGTTGTCTGTAGTTTCCAGACAAAAATGTAGGCGAGTTGATTTGCTTTTGTTTTTCTGCTGTGAGTGTGGATCGTTTGGGTTACGTGATGTGCTGTGATGCGCACGGCTATTGTAAAAGAGCTATGAACATAGCTAACGTGGTGGCTCAAATTACGGCTTCTGAGAGGGTATTCTATGTGCGGCAAACATGCAGCGAGATGAAGTTTATTTGACATTCCAACTGGCTGTATTGTTCTGCCAATTTGGGATGATGGCCTCTCAATCGGTTGCTGTGACTCAGCTTCAACAGGTGATGGTACGGATAATTAGTGTCGTTGAGAACTTGATAAACCATGATTAGGTTAGCACGCAAACGCCCATAGCGTCTACCGAAAATGCTTGGCACTCCGAGACGTTGTTCATATGATAAGTGGCGTAGCCCCTTGACATTTTTGTTCGTTCGATGTTGTGAACCTCCAGGGGGGGGGTGAGACCTCGCTTTAACCATGGGTGCAATGAGGCTGTACATTACTGTGGTGCGATGGTTTGCGTGTCTCAGAGATCCACTGAGCTATGGTGGGTGGTGCATTTTGCACCTTCAGAGCCACACATACCAGATTGGTCAATGGTTAGAAGCCAGACAAACTCAGTCGGAAGTAGGAAGGAGCGTGGCTCCTTATTCCTTAAAACGCACTCCTTATAGCCCACCGCCAAACCTGCTGCCTTGCGGTTAGGTTTTTGAACCATAGGCTTTGGTTGAGAACCCTAATCGTTCCTGGCCTGGGCAACCAGACAGTATACTGCCCGTGCAACACTAACCATCTTTTCTCAAACAATCTCCTGATCCTCTGGCCACCGCAGAGCATCGAGCCGGATGGAAAGGCGGTTGGATGCTACTGCTCAAGCCTTCCCGTCTTCTTATTTCCATTCTAGTTTCAACTCACATGCTAACGCGGAGCGTCATTTCTGCCCTGTCGATAAGCGCATATCCAAGCAAGCGGTCAAGCCCAGTTTATCCACTTCCATTTGGAGTCCTCGATCCTCCTTCAGATTGGCATGCCTCAAAGTACGCACAATGCTACAGGTCGGTCAACAGGCAGCACTTTCCCGAACATTAGAGACCTTCTCGATCGATATCTGCTGCTTATCGAAGACCCGCCTGCAAGACTCGAGCTATGTGCTCACTTCGCGATCCCCATCAGGCGACATAAGCAGCACTTCCTCATTGCGCCTATCCGGTGACAATGCAACTTTGAGTCCCGGCCAAGCTGGTGTTGGTATTGCCTTGAGTCCCCGGGCTGAAGCTGCTCTGGTTGACTGGGTCCCAATCAGTAGCCGGATGTGTGCAGTCCGATTGGCTGGCACGTTCAAAGCGGAAGCTGCGTTGCTGCTGGGCGATGTGACCAAAGCCGTCCAGCTAAGACATGAGTGCGTCGGCAGTGATAGCCTCCATAACTTTTGAAAGAACTAGCCGAAGAGTCACTGGTCGATAAGTAGCTGGATCGGAACGACTACCTCCTTTGTAAATGGGAGTTATTATCCCGTGTTTCCACATTGCAGGAACGTGCCTCTCGTCAAGGCAGTGCTGGAACAGTCCCGCCAAGGTTTCAGCCAAAATTTTAGCCGCCAGAACTAGCGTCTTTGGGCGGAGTTCGTCAATTCCTGGAAAGGCGTGCGGGTGCATGGATAACAAGTTTTTCATCCGCCGTAAAACTTATATGAGTGAGTCTTGGTGGAAGCACCATAGTTTTCGAAGGTTCAGGAGACGACGGAATGCAATGAAACGATGGCGCATATTGTTGTTGCAGAACACTCGACGCTTCTTTGGCAGTCCAAGTTAGACCATCCGCTGTTTGAAGAGGCGGAAATCCACTTTTCACCTTGCGAAGCTGTTCGCTTATGATATGAAGTAAATCGCTCTGCTAAAGCCTATCGATATGCTACTTTGTCCTCGCGCACTAGTTGGGTACAGTGATTATGATGGTGAAAATAGGTCTTCCAGGTACTCGGACTCGGATAGGTTTTGTGGGCAAAATGCGTCGCGTTACGCGTCACTATAAAGTTGCGTGTCCTACCTACTCCGTATAAGCGACGCCATGTTGCTCGAACTGGCAGTCTTGATTTCCGATGCCCAACTAACCAAGATGTTAAAGTTACTAACGAAACGTTCCCAGGCGATATCGGGTGCATTTTCGGTTAGGAAACTAAGTCGGTCGCTTCAAGGTGTCGTAGCTGGTTATAGTCTGTGTGGTTTGAGTTCTGTCCTCGGGGTATTCAGTGTAGCAGGTAGGTGTACATGAAATGCAAGGTGGAGTGATCACTGCGGCCTAGAGGAGTGCCAACTACCATTCTCTCGATTATTAGTGAATATCAAGTCTAGTATGGATGGCCTGTTCTTTTTTCCCCTGAATCTGGTGGATGGAGTGACGTGGCCATAAAACGGAAAAGTTTGGACAAAGTCTTGCAGGTCTGTTTTGAATTGCTCGCCTGGTGTGGGCTGAAATAGTAGAGGATATTACTTGAAATTGTCAACGAATAGTACGTGTCGGGACTACCTGTTTATCCCCAGCCTAGACGCAGCCAAGTCCATCTCAGGTGTAGACGATGGTGGGCGGTAAACAACAGCCACTAGGCCGACGTTGTTCCTCCACAGCCGTAAGCTACATCAAATGGAGTCGGGCACTTCGGTTTCCGGATCGTGTGCGGGTTCGCACTGGAGGTTGTTACACAAAAGTAGACGGCTACTCCACCACGATTGCACAGGAAGCCTGTTGTAAAAACTGCGTGTAGTGCCTTTCTGGGTAGGAAACCCAAAACCAATTACGTCTGTGATTGGTGAACCTAGGCGGAATACCGCGTTCCCAACGTATATGGAGCTGATTGGATGGGTAATTGTGAAGCGCTCGTGTGAATGAATTGCGAAGCACAATCCCAATACGGACCCCAATTTGTAATGAAGTGAACGTTGGTCAAATCGATCACTGAGACCGTAACTGATGATGATGATGATAGTGAGCGCTGCTCGACCGAGAACACTGCACATCAAGACACGTCTCGATCTCATCAGGTAGGGAGATCAGGCCTCGAACCCGGGACCAATGGAATGCTAGCTTTGTATCCTGTACGCTGCAGAAACCTGCCTTACTTTGGGTTGGAACATCGCTTTTTTTATCGACCCACAATCAGAAGGCCTTTGCTTGCCCCTTTGCTGTTTGCAACTCCACAAATAAGTGCTAACACTAACTAACCTGAGCCAAATGAGCTGAAAATCTGATAAGCTTACACTAACTGAGCACCGCATGATGCGTTTGAGAAATCATTGTGTTTGAATTGAGACAGTCAGTTTCACTTTGGGCTATCACCCGGACACCCTAGCCGGCCCGTTGCTTTAAGGATCACAAGCCTGCTTTGTAATCCGAAGGCGCGGGTTCGAGTCTACTTAGGGTCCAGGCAACCCTCACAGTATCCGTAGCCGATGTACGACTGGTTGTGGTTGTGCGGCAGCGAAGCGTCGGTACTACATACCGGCATACTGCTGATACCTTTTTATCGGACATTCTGGTCACTAGGGCAGTGTCAGAGGTAAGAAGATTTTGGGTGCTCGCCACTCCCAATGGTGGACTGCGCTCGTATTGCTGAACAATGTGACTACACTGGAGGAATTCCGCGAAAAACAAAGCAGAATGCCCGGCGTACACTACAGTTACGGCGTTTTGTGCTCTTCTACTCTTTTTTTAGGTTGAAAGATGCACGGAAGGTCAAACTGTACCTGGGTGAACTGCAACGCATCACGACCAAATGTGGTGACCCGCTGCAAATTGCAGAGGCGGATGTATTATTGACCAGATTTTACGCTAGACAATTAGAAGACTATGAGAAGTCCAAAACAATGGCAGAGGACGGATTTCATCTCGCTATGCGCACAACTAACCATGAGTTGGAGAGAAACTTACGCCTCTGGTGTGGATACATTAACGGATGTAGATTAAAAAGTACGTTTCTGCCTGTGGTACTTTGTGCGGAACCGGACAAAAAGCTCATGTTCTCACTCCTAAACTGGCGAATTGCAAGAACTGCTTTGGATAAACTGACACCCACACAGGAGCGGGAAATCACACGTAAGTCACGCTGATCCAGTGATGGTGCCTTTCTGATTTTTAGGGTGCACTTTTCACGAACGCGCAGAAACAATCGACAGACAACGTGCCACCTAATTTGGCTAGAGCATACATTTTCACTACGTTTGCTAACACTCAGCTCTTTTAATACAGATTTTACTATCCGCTGTCGACTTTAATGACATCACTAACGTTCCCCTGGTAATCCGAATGTATTCAACTATCTCTTAGAGTTTTAAGGAAGAAGTGTCGTGAACTGCAGATAGAACCCATCAAGCGTTCAGCCCATATCTGCAGCGAATAGTTCCATCTACTCGAACAGAATTCTAACGCACTGTGATGCGCCAGGAGTAAGTAGTATGGTACGAATGGGCAAATAAGAGGGAAAAAGGACACAATAGCATATTTCAAAAGCCCATCCTAAGGTGCGCGGCCAGTTACCAGAGATACAGGTGTAACACAAGGAGAGCCATCGTCTGGAGGAGAATTCCCGGTAAGATTGCGCAATATGCAGATGTGGTGTCGTAATAGGCAAGGCTTGATAAAAAGCCTCATTGGAAATCATCGTGTTAATAACCCGGTTCTCCGCACCTTTTAGGTGTCTGCGGCACGGCTATGCAGTTTTCCATTCCATAGCATAGGCGGCTTGCTAACTGATAGCTGGGGAATCTTACTTGATGCGGAGTCACACGTCTTCCACTGTCGAGTTGGCTATCGTAGCTCGCGCGATGACCCCGCTTCACCCCATTCCCGTATCCGGAGTTGCCTGTCAAAATGACTATGAACAGCCACAGGCATCTGCTACATCACCTACCCACACACACCACATTCAGTGCAGATCAGAAGGAATAAGAGTGGAAGACAGCCATCACACACACATGCCAATCAGTTATGAGACGTGCGTAGCACACACGCACACAGGGCAGTGACTGAGCCGTAGCCCGTTTCATACCGGATAGCAATAGTCTTTGGACATAGGACTGTCGCGACGACGAATGTTTCCAAGAACAAGTAATCGAGATGCTGGTATTTGACGTGCGTGCGTCTTTCAACAATCATTAGACGCAAACAGATCCGGAATATCAACCGTCAGATACGCGGCAATACGAATCAAGCAGGTACGCGCACAACATGCACCGCAGTATTGCCTTGGGTTAGTAAACGAAACCGGAAGCACCGTACTTTTGCTACGCTGACACTCATTCCTAACCGACCTTGAAAGTTGGCTCTCAGTCAGTGTCCTGTCGAGGCTCGTTAGTAGCGCACATCCTCAGGTGTCACCAGGAACCGAACTCCAAGGGTTTATCGCTTCTTTGATTGAGGCTTCACTCAAACACCTCGATGAGTTCCCGCTCGAATCGGCTGAGGCACACACATACACACATGTGTCACCGGGAAGGATTCCAAAGGCTTCAGGTTTCAATGACTTCTGGCAAACGTGCTACACTGTTTATAAAGCAGACGGAGTCATTAAAAGCAATGGAATTAATATGCGCAATAAGTACAAACATCACAAGGAAGGAAACGGATAAAAATGTATTTTTGTGCGTTCTCACACATCGTTTTGTCTTGCTATTTTGTCACTTTAATGACTGCGGTGTTAAGCAGTAAAAGCAAAACACAAATTCCCACAAAGCTTCCATTGAACCATATTACACGCTGTCCTCAAGGGCATGCAGCCAGGCGCATGATGACGAAATGTATGTAATGGTGTTCCAAAGTGGACAGTCTCGTGACATGCGCGGCAGTAAATCTGATGTGCCTGGCAATACTTGGCAGTTTTCAGACGTCATTCGATACACAGCCGTACACAAGTTAGTTTGTGTGGAGTGAGGGAACACCGAATACAGTGACGTCATGCGTGCATGCCAAATTACGAAGTCGATCAAGCAGGAATAGCATGAAGATACTACAGCCGCGGTTTTCTATGCGATTCTCAGAGGGAAAGGTCCTTACAGTGAACCTGAATAACAGTTGGGACTGGTTAATCTGGGATCATTTATGAAGCGAAGAAGATCAGACCACTGAATATCCTCATATGGTATGGGCATTTCCGAAGAGCCGCTTTGTCGAATAGTCAAAATGTTCCTGGTAAACCTCAGACGATGACATTGTTTAGCAGTGTGTAAGCAATGGTTGGTGCAGTCTTTGATGGATCGTTAAGGTCTAATCATTAAGGTGCCATTTGAGTAAAACCCGGCTGGATGATGTTCGTTTAACCAAATGAATTTACAAGAAAGCAGAGCATCTTAGACTCGACACAAAAAGGACTTCCCCCGACGACCGATTCATCCTGTGCAGTTCATTATCATCATCAGCAGCAGTACATCAGCCATGTGGACTAGCGCTTCGCTGCCATACAACCATGATGACCTACGGAACGAAGAATAGTAAGAGGGAGAGAAGATAAAATCTTAATTCCTTAAGCAAACATTCCGGCTCAAGGCACCTACACCTTGCCAACAACGCACGGTCACAAACAACTGGCTATCGTACAAAGATAAAGCGGCATCTGTGAGACAGTTTCCTTGCGGCTTTCATTGCCCCGCGTCATAGGCAGATATTACCCAGCAGAGAACTCGAAACCAAACACATTTTAAACAGGCAGACCAACTAGGAGACGGCAGCAGACGGGCCACTAGTATCGACTGCGAGCCATGTCCTGTAAAGTCTCGAGCCAAGCACAAGGCGGGTCACGTGAACTCCAGCCTGGAAAGCGAGAGGGCCCGAGTTTGGTCGTCAATGGCTTCATTTCCTGTTTCCGAGTCAACTTTTGTTCACGTCGAGACTTGCGCCACCCTACATTTGGCAAAGAAAACAAGGCCCTTTTCAGTAAGCGGTAACCGGTCATAGGTAGTACGTGCCCAAGCCAACGCAACTTGTTCAGTGCTATCTGTTGTCCCAAGGAACTAGCTTGAGTATCATTGCATAGCGTTCGTCTACGCACATAATCGTTGCGGACACGCTGTTGCCACCCGACATCAGTAACACTTCGCAGGCAGCGATGATAAAAGACTTGAAGGCACCTCAGATGTTCAGGCCGAAGAGGCCGTGTCTCACTCCCGTAGAGTAGCACGGCCCTTACAGTGGACTTGTAAACAAGGTCTTCAAAAGGAGGGAAACCCCTTTCTGTCGCCAAAGATGTCACAGAATCAAAAAGTCAGTTCTGGCTTTTGCAATGCGTGAACTGACTTCAGTTGCTATCCTGTGTGGTTGACCGTACAGGACGTAACTGACCCACCTGCAAGGTTGGCTGAAGCTGCTTCCCTCAAGGGAAGTGCGTGCTCTGTAGTTGGTAATAATTCTGATGATAGCAAATGACACAGTACTCTGACTGCGGGAAGAGGATTAGACACTCCGTATTCCACGAAACTGCAAACCCATTTGACATGTATGATTCGACGGAAACGCTCCGTGTGGTTAATTTGGAACGTAATTCCCCACTCCTCCCATTTAGAAACGCTACTCAAGAAAACTCCCAGGATGACCATGCACTGCGTGATGTCGGTTGCCGTTAATAAACCAGAGAATGTGCCTTGCATGACTAATCCACCTCTTCACCATCACGAGTTCGAACTGCCGGCCCGAGTTAAGCGGTGTATATGATTCCATTAAGTAGTATCGACCACACAAATAATGGGGATACCGAGAGATATGGAGGGAGATGCTTCCAATACACCTTAAGAGTGGTATGTACCACATCAGCTGCGGGAATATGCATTGCGCTGACAAACAAAGAAGCGAAATGTCGTCCACGTTGGCCACGTGATGGCAGCATTTCGACTGTGCTCAATGCTCCAAGCATTAATGCAAATCATGCGCAGCCAGATATTGCCACTTCGATTAGCGGATCCAGATGTTCAAACCTAAGGGCCGAATGATACCGAATGTACAGTCCTCGCGGGAGCGCTAAGCACGGTTCCATACAGCGGGTAACGGAATACGTATCAGCGACTTCCCAAAGTCTAGAATAGTATCGTGTATGTCTAAGGAAAGGAAGCTAGCTCGGAAGTAACCGTGGCTTCCAACCGCACGCCTCCTGGCGCCCTACGCCTTCGGGCGCACACTGCGTTGGAGCTGTGGGTAGTGTAGTACAAGCCATCTGTGGACACAGAAGTGAACACCAAATGTGAAGACAGACACCACCAAGCGTCATCCTGGGGTCATACTCAACACAGTGTCGTACTGTATAAAGGAGTAGATGATTACAAGAAATCGTTTATGATAAGGTAGTATAGATCAAAACTTGAGAAAAGTGCTATGTACAGAGGGAGCATGAAAGTGGTGGTTGGCTGAAGCGGAGAAATTAATGAAGACATACGAAAACGCGAGAGGCAGTAAAATTGGCGAGGTAGTGGGATAAGTGTAACAAAAGGGCAGGGTTGAAGAGTCTTACAGGTCAATCTCGAAATCCGCATCTGTCAACTGACGATAAATAGGCAAAAACGATAGAGGTGATAATCTTGCATTTGGATTAGGCGATTTACAAAATGAAACAGCATCAAAGTTGCCATGTGAAATTCCATCGGAAGACAAAGTAGGACAAGGTTCGGAAGGTGTATTAGGAAGGCAACACACATCGTTGGAGGATTCGATACATTTTGAATGCTTAATGGAAGAACTCGGGGGTGGTGATCCGTCATTCGGGAATTTCCCGTTGCTGGTGAGCGGTCTCTTTCTGAATGCGAAGGCGGAGAGCCGTTCGCGCGTCCTGGCTACATGCTGCTCGGGGCTAGGTTGTGATTTCAACTGGGTAGATGTAAATAGCGGAGCGGCTGACAGGTGAGGATCGGTCTCATCACTCAAAAACCCATGAGCTGTGGGCGAAATTTCGTTCTCACCTTCATCGTCCGGGCGCTCCGCCTCATTTTCCTCCTCCGGGCTAAGGTCTTCTTGTTGCTCAGGAAGCGGTTCGTTTAGGTTGATAACCTCATCACTGGCTTTGACTTCAGAAAGCGATCGCAAGATGGCCGGCTCCCATTTCCGATATTCCGACGCGGCATCCGCGGGGATATCACAAGCCACAATGGCTTCAGGAGTGGTCATGTAGGCTGAGCAACCTGTGACTCCGGGCCCAGCGGCATGCGGAGTGGTGGACTGTAGAGACGCGTCCATCAAGGCAACCACAACCACGGCATCCTGGGGTCAAAAGGAAATGGTATGAGACGAACGATAGTGGTCAGGCGATGCAACTCTGTCTGAATTGACGGCATTCATGTGGAAAGGAAAAGTAAGCTTTACATTACAGTTCAACTCAGCCAGATAGAACTGTCTTGAAAACGGAGGTACTACGACAACAAATATCAACAGTGATTAGCAAACGAGGGAGTGCAAAACAAAGCAGTCGACCATCTGCGGATTTATTGGTTGAGGTAACTACGTTGTGACTGTGAGTACAATTGTAGCAGTAATGTCTAGAGCCAATTAAAGGGTGGGTCATCGCATGGACTCCACTTCCGAAGGCGAGAGGATCTGCAGTCCTCGACCAGTGGTGTGATGAAATTATGCAATCGGAACGATCATATGGATTCAAGAAACAATCCAGATAGCCAATGTAATAAGAACCCGATAAATTTGATCATTGGAAGCAGCAGGAGCACTTGTCCATCTATAGACTTCGCTGAGTAGCGGCAGTGAGTTTTTCGTCGTTTGTGTGACCGAGTCAAGGGAAGAGTTTCACCAACCGAAAACTACTGAGGTTTATGGAAATGCACGAACAATTTGATTCGATAACATAAGTTCAGGCTTCTGTGTGCGCCAAGTTTGCTGAGTTACCTTTTCTGAATAAACCGATTATCGCTGAATGACCAACTTCCAGGGCAAGTAGTTTCACTTCTTGTTGTCGAGTAGATGATCGCTCTTCTTGACTAAGTAAGTGGTAAGGTGAACGGTGTGGAAAGTGATGCGAAGAATTGGGAATCTCTCAGATTTGATGAGAGATGCCGGATAGCGCTTTTAAGCGACCTAAGGGTCACTTGCACTGGAACAGATAGTGGGCACTCAGATTAGAGGTTAGTAAAAGTTCGCCCCCTGACTCCATAAATCACGTGCCCGTTTTGGACCACAAATCTTAGCTGAGCACAATTATCAGCCGCAGCAGCAACAGCAGTATATCGGCCATTTGAACCGATGCCTCGCTGCCGCACCACCATAACGACCTACGGAACGAATAACAATAACAGGGAGAGAAGGGGGCCTAGGGTAAAAGCTTAATGCCCTAAACAAACACTCAGGTTCAAGATACCTACAGTGTGTCAACAACATACCTTCACAAACCGCATGTATCGTGCATCCACATCGGCGAGATAGCTTCCATGCGGCTTTCGCTGTCCCGCGTCATGATCAGCTATTATCCCACAGATAACTCGGCACCCAACACATTTTAAACAGGCAATCCGAGTAGGGGAGGACAGTAGACACACCACCGATGTCGACTGCAAGCCATGTTCTGTAACATCACAAGCCAAGCACAAGACACGTCACGTAAACTGCAGCCTCGAAGGCGAGACGAACCGACGGTAACGAGTTTGGCCGTCAGTGACTTCAATTCCCGCCGGTTGCTTAAGTTTTGTCCACCTCAGGACTTACGCCACTCTATATCTGGCAAACAAAATAAGACTCTCCTCGGTAAGCGTTGAACAGGCATACGTAGTAGGTGTCATAGCCCAACAGAGATTAGAACAAACGAGGAGAGAATGTTTAAAAGAGCAAGAACGAGCAAGATTTTTACGGGATAACCTGAATTCAGAGTATTTCGTGTTTTCTCATTTAGCCGCTTACAGACAAATCGTGGAAAGAGTAAAGGAATGCAATCGAAAAGAGAAAATCTTCATTTCCCAATGTATGTAAGTGTGTGTGTGAAAAGACTGTCCTGACACGTTCTCCCCTGGTAAGTTCTAGCAGATGACCTAATAATGGCTAGGTGGTGTTTGGAAAGAAACCGGAAAAGACAACAACACCAGAGATTATAGAAGTTATGAAGTTATCAGCTGTTCAGTCAGAAACATAGTCGGAGAACCGGATACAGAAAGGTAACCAAGCGAATTGACGGAAATCCCAATCGCAATGCTTGTTAGAAACCAGTGGCCACGTAAATTGGCTGGTTTATCATGCTACTGGATGATTGGCGGGTTCTCTGAGCCAGTCACATTGTTCGCATGCGGGGAAGAGGGCAATGTAGTTGGCGATGAGTCACACTATACGGCAACTGTTGTTAGCCGGTTGTGGTTCAGATCGGTTTGACATCAAACATGCTAAAACAGTGACAATAATAATGGTAAAACAAATGATTCGGGGGGGGGGATGCGCGGATAATATAGGCGTCAGGCAAAATAGTCTGGAACTCGAAATGTGAGAAAGAACGCAAAAGACGCATTGAGTTGGTGAATGAAGCATGCCTGACAAGATTTTAAGACATCGACGTAGTTGAACACGTGGCGGCAAGTACCAATCTCCTAGTGAGTTTCTTCATAACCTTTAGTGACGCAACTGATTACTAGTTGGAAGTAACAAGAAGAGATGTCTCTGTGTAGCTGCATCTAAAATTCCTCAGGCACAAAGACCAGTTATGTTGGCGAGCGTTTGAAACAGTTCATGAATATCTTGAATTCCGACACTAACCTAGCCTCAACTACGTGCTGGAGCAGATTGTTCCATACATTCACCTTGTTGGTGGGCGACCCGTTTCAAATCCGGTACGACAAGCATGTACCAATATCCTCATGTGCTGGTCGGTGTGCGCAAATGCAACTGCGGCCACCACATGGGGTAATCACCGAAATGTAGTATCCGGTGCGTCATGATGACGTCGACCTGCAATTAAGGGTAGTGTAGGATGCAAAGCCATAGTCTCTTACACCGGTTTTCGTACGGCATACCACGTAAAGTGGAGACAAGCCTGGTGGCCACTTGCTGCACTCGCTCAATCCTTTCTACCTCACCCCGGGTGATAGGACAGTATGTGGGTAAGCCGTACTCTGGCATTAGTCGTATTATTAAGCCCAAGGGACGTGGCAATCTTATCGGACCAAGTGCTGAAGCTGCGCTTGAGCGCTCAAAACAGCACTCAAAAAAGCCCGTTTTTGTAAAATCTATTCGAGTTGTCCACGGACTTTAGGTCGCTGCGTGAGAGTACACCGAGGTCTTTAACGGAAGGTGTGGGGATACAACGGTTGACCGACCACAGTGTAGGTTCGGTTGTGTTCACACTTACCCAGCCTCATGAATAGTGACTTGACAAGATTTATCGGAAGTTGACCTCTGCAGACCACCTGAAGAGGTGGTCAGAGCGCCACTCAAGCGGGTCACAGTCATCGGGTACCCGGGAAATTAGGTGATTTCCAAGCTCCTTTCAACATCATCCCAGGTACTCAACCGAAATTTTTCAAAGCACGAAGCTTAGCTTTTGCGATCCTTCCGAAGGTAGAGTCGGAGCTGGAGCGCCTTCAAAAAGACGGAATAATCTCCCCTTTACGCAACTCATCCTGGGCTACACCGATCGTTACAGAACAAAAGCCAGATGGCTCAATTCACATTTGTGGTGACTACAAACTGACGGCTAATCAAGCGACGACTATGGAACACTATGCTATTCCACGAATAGATGACCTCTTAAACTTGTCGGGTGAACAAAAGTTCTCCAAACTTGATCTGAGCCACGCTTATTCTCAATTGTAGCTCGATGAATCTGCTAAGAAAGTTACGACTATCAACACACTTGGAGTTGCCTCACTATGACCGGTTACCACTCGGAATACACACTCAGAGGATTGTAGACAATTTAGTGAAAGTTATACCTGCAAAGTGCGCTTACCTAGACGACATCAGGGTTACAGAGAGTACGGATTATGAGCATCTGACGGCACTCACTACTGTTTTGGAGCGCCTCCAAAAGCGCGGACTTAAGCTCAAAGAATCCAAGTGTCTTTTTCTCCAGTAGCGTTGAGTACCTGGGGTTTCGTTTCGACAGACATGGGTTACATCCATTAGGGGAGAAAATTCAACCCATTCTCGATTCACCGACACCACGTAACATTTCCGAAATGCAATCATTTCTCGGGATGGTGACACATTACAGTCGTTTTTTGCCCAACCTAGCAACTACCCTCGCACCCTTGTATGCATTGCTGCGTAAGAATACCCGATGGATGTGGTCACCAAAACAACAAAATGCTTATGCTGCTGTCAAGCTGGCTATAAGTAAGGCTGGTACACTTTGACCCAAAGAGGCCGATTACACTCCGGTGCGACGCATCACTCACAGGGCTCGGAGCCGTGCTATCTCACAAAATGGATGACATGGCCGAACGACCCATAGCTTCTGTATCCGGAGAGGAATTACGCCCAGCTAGAAAAAGGAAGCCTTAGCAGTTATCTTTGGAGTCAAGAAATTTCACCAATATCTTTGGGGAAGAAAGTTTGAAATTTTTACAGACCACAAACCGTTATTAACTTTGATCGGTGAGGAAATAGGCATCAACCAGATGGCGTCCCCTCCTATGCAACTTTGGGCCTTAACTGCTTTCGGCCTACAACTACAAAATCTCGTATGTTCCTGGAAAATTGAATGGAGTCGCCGACGCTCTGAGCCGCTTACCGTTAAGTCAGTTACCCGATTGCGTACTGAAACCCGTTGAACTGGTTAATTTGCTTCATCATTTAGTGGGAAATCCGGTGCTAAGCGCAGATATCCGTCATGCGACCTACTACCATGCTATTTGCCAGGGTCAAGCGTTTAGTATCCCAGGGATGGCCTGATAAATGTGAGCCACAACTGCTACCATACTTTACTCGACGCTCTGAGCTTAGTCTTGAAGATGGATGTCTACTCTGGGGATCCAGAGCGATCATACTACCCCGATTGCGTCCAGATGTTCTACATCAGCTGCACGAAACTCACCCGGGAATAACGAGGATAAAAGGACTTCGCGATCTTACGTATGGTGGTGCAATATGGACAGAGACATTGAACATTTAATCCGACACTGCAACATTTGTCAAAGGGCACAAAGAAGCGCCCCTTCTGTACCACTCAGCCCATGGAAATGGCCCAGTAAAGCATGGGAACACGTACATGCTGACTTCTTCGGCCCACTCGACGGGAAGGTGTTTCTTCTCTTAATCAACGCTTAGTCGAAATGGATGGAAGTCCTCCAGCTAACACGAGCCACGTCATAGACCACAGTTTCATGCATGCGAACGTGCTTTACAACCTTCAGTATAGCGCACACGTTGGTGACAGACAATGGCTCGGTGTTTACTAGTCAGGAATTTCAGGAGTTTCTGAAAAATAACGGTATACGTCATGTGAAGTCGGCCCCTTACCACCCAGCTTCTAACGGACTAGCTGAAAAGTCAAGAACGGGCTTCGAAACCAAGTGCCGGCTCCATTGCGAACAAAGTTAGACAAATTCCTTCTTGGCTATCGCTCCACACCGAACGAAACGACTGGTAAAACCCCCGGTGAACTAATGTTCGGGTGGAGATTAAGGACACGATTGAACTTGTTGTTTCCTGAGCAGAGACTACGCGTCGAAGCCAAACAAGATAATTCTAAGACCGAGTATATTATTACTATACAACATGACCAATGTACCATTGGAAGTGCCACACACTATAGGAAGTGGCTCTACCAGGCGGCAGGGTAGTTATTCGGCACAAGGACCATATCCGTCCCAGCTCTGTCCAGGGCCCGCCGGCCGACACATCGACAAGCCGAGTCAGTGAGTTGGAAGACGTGCAGAATACCAGACAATCGGAGACCGTAAGGTCACGCTCAGACGGAGTACGCCGACTAGGCTAGCTGGGGTAGTTCCAACTAAAGGGAGGAGAAATGTGGCATCTGCGCAGGGTGTCAGTCCAACGCCAAGCTAGTCATCGATTTAACTGTGTTCCTATTGGCTGGATCCACCAGAGTCAGTGTGTGCGTCCGTTAACACCAGCTAAGCATTGATTAGACTGTCTGAGCTTATGCGAAGCGTTGTGTTTATGGCGACATAATACATTTTGTGCACTTCTGAAACTGACGTGTTCCGCCGTCGTGCGCTATGGGCCAAATACTGTGTTCTACTGAGTCGTGGTTCAGTACGGGCCGAGCTGGAACACTCTCCATATTTTCAAGCCATCTGCGAACAATGCACAAGGCGAGCAGATAAGCTGACGCGCATCGTTTATAGAAATCAAGAACAAAAGGGGCCCCAGTACAGTACCTTGGGACACGCCACTGCTCGAGGGATACCAATTGGTCAGTTGGTTATCGAGCTGGATCCTCCACTTTCGAACAACAAGGAAATTCCTGATCCATCGGCGCAGTGGGCCGCCAACACCGCACACCCTAAATCTGAACAGGATCACCACATGATTCACCATGCCAAAAGCCTTACTGAAGTCAATTTAAGTGACGTCGACCGAATTGCATTGTTTAGCTTCGTAAACAATGGGTTAGTGATGCATGAGCGACTTTGCACAAAACCATGCTGTGCGGGCGTTAAGAGGCTTCTGGACTCAAGAAGTTGCAGAAGACCCTTCTTCACGATCTTCTCAGGTGTCTTAGCCAAAACAGCGATCAGGCAGATCAACCGGTTGTTATCCACTTTGCTTGGGTTACCAACTTTCGGTATTGGCCTCACGACTGAGCATTTCAACTTTTCAGGTAATAAACCAGTGGACGGTGACCAGTTGAACAGCTCAGCCAAGGCAGGCGGAATGACGGCCGATAATGCGTTCAGAATCGGCGTACATCAATGATGCAAACCAGGTTGTCCACTTCAGTATAGGCGGTACCTATGGAACTCCGTACAGACATTTGGTCACTTGTAAATACAGAAGCGAAGTGCGCTGCCAATACGAACGCACGAGCTGTGTTCGAGGTTAGAGGCTGTCTATCTGAGCCATCCAATACTGGCACCCTACCTGAAGTCCTCAGGCACCGTTTCACGTAGGCGAAGATCCTCTTGGGAGCAGCTTTTGTTGCGGCTGCTAGCTGCTCTTCGGAATTTCGAAGCTTGTTTTTGCGCGTCGTTGCAAACAGTTCGCTGTCTCTAGTACGCCTCTTAGCTTCGTCAGAACCAGACAACACAAAGTTATAAATAAATGAATTTCTTATTCTCGAACAATGTGAGGCACGCCTGTATAGGCGTAATCATATTCTGCGTCGTCCTCTAGCCAATTTGCTGTACTCCTTGTCGAATCAGTGTGGTCCAACTTTCCTGCCAGTAGCCTAGAGGTAACGAGCTTGTCTTATAATCTTGAGGCGCGGGTTCGAGCCTGCGTAGTGGCAGGGCGACCCTCGCAGCATCTTTAGTCCACCTGTGACCGGTGATGGTTGCGTGACAGCGAAGCGTCGGTACTGCATACCGGCATATTGCTGATAACTAACTTTTAACTAACTTTTCGATACTTGAGGGGTACAAATCGGATGCACAACGACTTCACCCCCTCTTTACTTATAGTCCAACAGTTTTCAACAGATGAATCCTTTGGTCACGACCGGTCCATCTGACTTGCGGATCGAGTGAGGCCATAGTCCGCCTTCCAATAGTTGAGGGAGGGCTACAGCGGAGAAGAGTACGGCAACGGCAGTTCCAAGCTGGCTATGACCATCGAGTGCCCACTCGCTCCCAGGGACTCCAAGACCTGGATGTCATGCACACATTACCCACAAGTGGTCAAGAGTAGGTCTAATTACGATGGTCGAGGATTCTTCCAATCAGATGTAGTATTGCTAAGTGATGCATACCGAAGGAGCCGACTCACTCGCATGCGTGGAACATAACTGAGCCATCGAAAACAATTCGTGTTCAATAAGTACTCCAACTGAGGGCTTGCTGTCAAATGCCAGAGATAAAAAAGCTCAATCGCTTCTACTGCCAAAATGAGGAATCCTTCGAAACTGACAAATACTACGAAGGACAAACAGAAAGAAAGCTTGGTACAAAGATAAATGAACACATTCTAGCCATTCATTGGTACGATCATGTCGGTCTGTAGCCTATAGGTAACGAGTCTGTCCCGTAACCTAGCGGCGCGCGTTCGAATTCGTGTAGGGTTGGGTGTCCTCGTGATATACTCAGACCGCGAGCGACTAGTGGTGGTCGCACAGCAGCGAAGCGCCGTTACGGTGTACAGCTGACACATTATTATGATTAAAAGTATTATAATTATCACGATCATAAATCACGGATACCAGTGCATACGGATGCCGAAAACCGACACTTTGACTTGGGAAATGTAAAAGATACTCGGAAGTGCCAAAAGCCGGCATACACGTGTTTGTCGAAAGTTGGCACTCAAAACCGAACCTGATCAACAAGTGCTTGGGTCCGTGAACCAGACCGAGAAACCTGTACAGATGATACTGCGAAGGTGCGTAAAGAAACATCTGCAAAACAAGCAGACAGCCTAAATAACAATCCAAACTCCGCATCCACACCCAGAGCTTGGCGTATCCTCAGCTAATATGAATCCCTTCGAAATCAGCCAGTCAGCTTCTTAGTGCCCTCTACGTGTAAGGCCAATGGTGGCGCGGAAGCATTGTAGAGACATATCCAATGGGCTTATATCCCACTGTGCGTGTACGTGACCCAATCGTCCTAAAACCACAGGAGTAATAGTAATAGATGCGGTAACCTCCACCATGAAAATGTGTTAAAGCTACCTAGATTGCCATTTCGAGTGATTATTGCATGGTGGTGACTTACAGGTGACTAATCTACCTACCTAATTCAAAGCTGAATAGAAGCATTCAGACTGGCGGCTACCAACCGTCATCCTCCAAGTGTCGAAAGATTTTGTGCGAATACAATTGAAGTATTGGCCTCATTACTAATGCCTGCATACTTTCCACGGTGTTCGTGGATGGAGGGCTCATGATGGTTCAGACCAGTGTTAGGAGATTCTATAGGACATGGCACAGTAGCGTAGTCACAGACACCACTTCATTCGATTTTTTAAAACCAGCCGGCGACATTCCACTCCGATTAACTTTACTCTATTTTCTTTGCGTTGCATTTGCTACGTAACCTAACGAGAAATATATCATCATCATCAATACAGCCTAGCCGAGGGGGAACAACGCACTTCAGCTAATGAGCCGCAATACAAAAAAGTAAGACATTAAGCAATGTGGACTTAGAAGCTATAAATAAGTAACAGAATGCTAACAGCACATTTGTGATCGTTGTTGGGAGGGAAAGCTAAAGGAAAGGGGAGGTACAAAGAAAACCCAAACACAAACGTCAATGAGGTCGACTCTTCGCCATGTCGGCTAGTGTATGCAACCAAACGTGTGCATCGTCCTTCGGACCCTAGCCAGGCAGTCGGGATGCACCAACCGACGCGAACTTCGAAGTGAGGGACTTCATTCCTCTCGACTAAGTCATCGCTTGGCCTCCACTCCTCTTCGTCCATCCACACCCCCGGCGCGCAAGCACCGCACGTCGCGGTAGTCTGTGGGCTAGCATGCACAACACTAACGAGGAATACGGAATCGCATCATCCAGTGTTTGACAATGGATCCTCCGCCAACGCCAACTAGTGTCCGTTGAATATAAACTGTCCAGGGTTTGCTCGAAGCTCAATATATGCTAGCAAGCTACTTATTACTATACGCTGAAGATGGCACAGTGACTAGTGATGAAATGTCTGTCTGGCTCGGAGAAACAATCAACACACCTCCAACCGACTCAAGGTACAGGTATTCCGACTGACTATTCGGATGCCACAGCGTATTTTTCACCAATACAGCACATGGATGGATGAAAGCAAGAGGTGAACAAATCAGTGAAAAGAGAAAAACAGCATCAAGATAAGCAAGATTGGTGCTTGCTCTCTTTCCAGATGTAGCCGTCGAAAAAGACTATCAGTAGTTAGAATTCCTGTGGAAGATGGCGCGGTCACAAAGACAACGGTGTTCTTGAAGACGTTGTCTTGCTTTAGCTTTTTTAACTATGAAGCTATAAGAAGCGACCGAGCCGAAATTCATTCAACCAGAGCACTTAACTTACCTCAACACCAGCCACTGATCGAGCCATTAGGCGAGCATGGGCCTTCGTTAGCCGAACAAGGCTCTCGAGTAGACGTAATGTCGTGCGTCCTTGTTCTGTGGAATCAGCATACGGGCCACAAGTGTTCATGGTTCCTCGTCGCCAAACGTAGTAGTTTCGAAGCAGGTTAGCAGCTGGTTTCGTCAACTGTGGTTTGAACTCCTGTCGCACCCAGACAAAGTACTCTCTCAACCGATCCGCAGACCAAAGCTTCCGTGTTGGATGTGTGTTCTGAAGTGAAAAACACGACGGATGAGATCACTGGCACATTGAACAACCGGACACAGATTGACAGTGGAACACGAATGACTTCGGTGACAAAAACCAAGCGATCTATGCATGAGTGAAAACAAGAGCAATGTGGTGAAGTCAATAAGACGAGGCTGTAGGTGACAGCCCAACAGCAATGATGAGCAACGCAACGGAGGGAAAGAATGTGGACGTTAATATGGCAGCGAGCGACTCAGACACAAACGCACATCTCAGCTTCCTCAGTCGGTTTCTAATCCTCAGCTCAGAGTCAAATAGGACTTAAAAGCTTTGCGTTACATATATCATACCTTCTTATCAATCGTCCCTTAGCATCCAAACAATAGAAGATCAAATGATACATCTGTGAAGTTAAACCTTCCTCGCCCTAGCCCAGTTTGTACGTGCAGCTGATCCGGTTTAATTATCTTCCCCTGTTCAGATTCTGGCCCACATAGAAAGGATTTGTTGAGTGTGGTGATCAGTTCCGGGTCCAGATCTGTCTAAGGTCACCGGTGATCTGCGTGTTACTTAACAATTAACTGCATACGGATGAGGTGAAAGCCCATCACTGGATTGGAAGAAATCACAGCTAACTGTCGGGAAAGCATGAACACGAAGCGATGATGTATGGGGACAAAACAGCTAGCATGAAAACAGCGAGTGTAGCTGAACATTGGTGAGCCATCGTGGGAACGTGTAACGAAGATCATAAGCAGCACTCGATTATGTTGTCACGATGATTAGCTAGCATACAGCTTCAAGCGGTAGCACACAGCCTAGAATACTGCTAGGGCGATCAAACCTGTGCAAAGGCGAGGACTCGAAGCAAGGGCGCAGAGTTTGCAAGGCAGACACTCGAACCACTACACAAACAGCTCAATCACAACCGCACACATAGTGAAGCAATGTATGAAGTCGTGGATATATGAGCTGAGAAATGAGTAAATTAGTTCGAATGGGTATGCATATAGCCACTTGACTGCCATTGCATATGTCAAGTTGTGGTAGCTGAAAGTTGGGATTACGTGAAACACGAAAGATGTTTGACCGCAAGTCTAAGGCTCACACGATGCCAGCGAGTCAACCGGTTTCAGGTCTCCACCTTGCCTTACGACCGATAGTGACCGTTGAGGATTAATGATGGCACCAGGAAGCAACAACAACGCTACGCTGTTGCTTCAGTGAACAAATCTGGTGCCCAACAACTTCACGCCAACGAGCAGATAACGGTCGCACATGAATAGAGTGACGATGAAAAACGTGCACGCGCTCTGCATCGTTGGGTAAACCGTTCTAAAGGGCAGTTCAACAACCTTTTGCGACACCAACGTTTGCTGAATCTCTCCATGACGTGCGTGTGGGAGACCGCAAAGTGGCCAGTTGAGGACGTGGTACAAAGATATGAGGAAGCTGATCGTAGTTGGGAGGCTCAAAATAGGCCATAGTAGTGGTTGGAGACCACATCTGACATTGCGAAGACGCGGAGTCAGTGGGGGTTCTGCTCTCGGCTTCTTGCGTCTAGCTGTTAACAACATTCCATCCCGAGTAGTCTGCACACTTCCTTCTTAACCGTCTTTACATTCTTGCTTGATTTCCTCAAGATTGTTTACTACCGTTATCCTGCTGATGTGTCCCGGTAACCGGATGCACCGCATTTCTTTGCGCGGATCATGGGTATTCAAGTGGACTAAGTTGAATAACACGCGTGGTGTGCAATACGTCTACAATTAGCGGTAGACGCCATGTGACTGTTTCGAGACCCAGAGTCAAGAGTCGTGATTCACATGGAGGGATAGCGGTGTGTCCTCGAAACAATGGTGGACTCCACCCACATAATTGGCAGTCCTATACCTTTGATTTACAATAGTATGGGAGATGTGGGCTTGACAAACAGGTGGCAATTATTGCGTGATATCTGTGGTGGTTTCCGCTGACGACCTGTTGCTTCGCGCAATATGGACTGGGCGACTTCCCAAATCAGAAGACAAAGGTCTCTGGCAAAACCCTATTGAACACCCGGCAAAAGATGGGGTCTAAACAAATAGTTCATAGAATAAGGATCTAGTCAGATAATGCACCAGTTGGTTACCGAAACTATGCGCAAATTGGTGGATTTCAAGGTAGATCATTCTCATTGGCAGCCTCAAGGTGAAACGTTCACATTGACTCGCTCTCATGGCGGGAGGCATCCGGTTTCGGATTTGCCTGTCCCTTTGGCCAGCCACAGGACGCCTGCACCTAGAGAGGGACCATGGATGGCTTACGCTGCATCACGCACGGCTCCAGCCACACGCCCCATATCCAGTGTAAATTCGAAGGAATAAGACCGGGAGGCATGTGGATGGGAGCCACGTTTCATCAGCGGAGTCGTCCCACACTCCTTCACAGGCAAACACAAGCACGCTGCAGTCGGGGAATCAAGTGTACACAAAGCGGTGGCTCGACTGTAGTCCGTTAAATACTGAGTGCATGGAACCACTCTTCGAGCCTAGCACGACCACAAGGGCCGTGCACCTCGTCCCGTCCAGCAAGGACCATTTGTCTCCTGGAGCCATTCTGGACGAGGTAGTGGGTAATAGACGGGTAGGCACATTGTCAACATGCACATCAAGCGCAGCCACACCTGGGATGTCAAACAACAGCCAATCATTCGAAATGCCGATATCGAATAAAGTAAACGCATATGACGACATAAATACTCGCTAACTGAGCATATAGAAGAAATTGGTTGGAGTTTAATCGTGACTTCTACCCTCTACGAAACTTGCGTTACTCACAAACATCCTTCAATTAAATTGGTTATAAGTGAATCCGTGATAAGTACAAAATGTCCGAAAGTTATTTAAAAATACCACGCGATACAATTACACAAGTTTACCACAATTAGCATGAACGAAGTGTGCAAGTTAGGAGAAGATTATCAGGTACGCAGAACAAACCATACTAAAAAGACCTAGTTTAAGTGTAAGTTGGTTTGGCCTAACTGCGGTGAAGAAGCATCAAGAATGCTACATCAACCTCAGCATGGGGCAGACTCGCTCACATAGATTGGCCAATACAGTCTAGGCTGAGTCGGGCCAAACTTATCCGGGCTGCTAGCCAGAGTAGCGACCGTAAGGGTTGAAATGATCGGGCTCGTGTAACAATATCTAACATGATAAAAACAGCCTTCAAGTGGACTTTATGATGTCACCGAGGTTATGCACAATAGACATGAAAATATCGAGCAGTGAAATCTGGCACTTTCGGCAAAAGCACAAGCGCTTCTATCCATACGCCCATTATTTACAGGACATGTTTTGTGTCATTTGCCACTAGTGCGTGGGCAAGAACAAAGTGCATGATAAGCAAAACGTCGTGATGGGTAGTCCAAACTGGAAACGTGGCTGCACCATGGAAACGTTACGTACGCCCATCCACGGTATATCAATCGGTGTGCGTTGCTTTGTGCACCGGTGCAGAGAAGGTGAAAAACTCGAGTGAGTAATAAAATCAGTGACAACCAGACTTAGTTTTTCGTCCAGTCCACTTCCCATACTGGGATCCGCGCGACTCAATCTGTGTGTGTTTGATTTCAGACAGTAGTGGAATTGGCCAGCAATATGCACAAAAAAGGAGTTGGCTTGCCGAACTACCTCCCCGTGGTGCCAGCTGGGTGGTTCGGGTGTACCCCGTTCCAGCAAAGTGTTCGGCGGCAATGTTCCACCTCCGTGGGGCATTGTATTCCAGCAATTGTGCTGACTTCATGGGGAGTATTGGGCCCCTGTTTGGTAATCTACCAAACAAAGGCGCATGAGCTGATCATTCAGTCAACGCCTCCCAATGGGCGCGATTCCCTAAATTCGCCCCGCTGCCTTGCGGGTAGGTTATTTAGCCAAAGGCTCGGGGTGGAGTCCCTTAAGTCAACTCCCTACTTCGGCTTGGGCAACCGGGTAGTATCACGCCCTCTCACAAAACCATGGACTGTACCACAACGCGCTCATCAGCTACTATTCCTGCTACTCACTTTCACGCTACTCCATCACACGCCAGTTGTTTGTTTGCTAACAATCCTCACGTTCGGTTACCCGATTCATCTGTTCAACAATCTGGCTGCGATTCCGGTTGCTCCGCAGATCAAGGAATTCAATCTATGGCTCTCCTTCGTCCCCAATCCTCGTTCCGTCTAGCGTGCTTCAACGTCCGGACACTCATGCAGATTGGACAGCAAGCCGGTCTAGCGCGCACCCTAGATTCCCTAGACATTGATGTCTGCTGTCTTTCAGAAACCCGATTGCAAGATCCCAGCACTGTGCTTACATTGACATCCCCCACTGACCACGAAGCCAGATATCACCTGCGTCTTTCTGGAGATCCAGAAGCAGCCTCAGCGGGTTTGGCTGGTGTAGGTATAGCACTGAGTGGCAAGGCCGAGGCGGCACTACTGGACTGGTTCCCGATTAACAGCCGACTATGTGCAGTTCGGCTTCGGGGTTCATGTAGAATCAACAGGCAACGCGAAGAGAGACGCAACTTGTTTGTGATCTCTGTATACGCTCCAACTGACTGCAGTAGCGACTCTGTCAAGGACGATTTCTACCGAGATCTACAACAGCTCTTGACTAATGCTAAAAAGTCGGATGTCGTTATCCTTGCTGGGGATTTTAATGCACGGGTTGGCCGCCTGTTACCATACGAACGCCACCTTGGTGGTCATCACGCGCTCGATGAGAACCGCTCTGATAACGGAGAGAGACTTCTCACATTGTGCGAGGACAACCGTCTGTTTCTCTCGAGCACTAGCTTTAGGCGTACGAAGAAACGTTCCGCAACTTGGCGTCCCCCTTCGCCAACACAACCTTGGTCTCAAATTGATCACATTGCGATTAGCTTCAGATGGCGCGGCAGCATACTGGACTGCAGGTCCTTTTGGTCCACTTTCGTTGATTCAGATCATGCTCTGGTCTGCGCGAAAATCTGTATGTGTTTTGGAGGATCCCGAAACACGAAGCACCGCAAGATTGATGTAAACAGATTAACTGATTCCTCTGTCCAGGAGAGCTATCAGTCTTCACTGGCATATGCACTCAGTTGCAATCCACCGCGAGAAGTGGAACAACACTGGACTTGTATACGGAAAGCGCTGACCATTTCCGGACAGTCATACTGCGGTCTAACTCGACGCCCTTTGAAGTCTTGGATCTCTGCTCGTTCTCTGGAGCTCTTCGAACGCCGCAAAGATATCTCCGCGGAATCAGATTGCAACGAGCGGCGTCGTTCTACCAACCGGCTGCTTAAGCAAAGCCTCCGCAAGGATCGCGAGAGATGGTGGTCTGAGCGTGCTTTAGAGATGGAGACTGCTGCCCTCTCTGGTAACACTCGCAGGCTTTTCCAACTCATTCGGTCCACTGGCCTCAGGAAGCCTGGTGTCAGTGAGGTCATTTGTGAGGTGGATGAGTCTCCGATCACCAACCAACAGAGGCGTATGGACCGCTGGGCCGAGCACTTTCACTCGCAGTTCAACTGGCCTCCACCATCCATCAGTACATGCAGTACACCTTGCGGTCCACCTTGGCTAGTCCCATTGAATCCACCCAGCGAAGCGGAAGTCTGCCTCGAGATTCGACGCTTGAAGCGCTTCAAGGCTGCCGGCTTAGACGGACTTCCTCCGGAGCTATTCAAGTATGGCGGTGTGGCAGTCATTAACCAGCTAACTGCGCTGTTCGCAAAAATTTGGCATGAAGAGAGAGTGCCTCCCTCTTGGGGCGAATCAGTTATTGTCCCAATTTTCAAGAAAGGCGCTCGCACTTCATGTGCAAATCATCGCGGGATTAGTCTTATTTCGGTTGCCTCTAAGCTGTTGGCATCCATTCTACTTCGTAGACTATCCCCAGTACGTGAATCGTACTACCGTGAAGAACAAGCTGGTTTCCGTCCTGGCCGCGGATGCGTGGATCAAATCTTCACGCTCCGCCAACTCCTTGAACATCGCCACATTTATCACAGGCCCACTATCGTTGCATTCCTAGACATACGTGCCGCTTTTGACTCCGTTGATCGACCTGCTTTATGGCGTTGCTTACTAAAGAACGGGGTGCCAGAGAAATATATCGCCATCTTACGAGCACTTTACCTTCACACATCCGGCAGAGTGAGGGTCTATGGCAAGCTTTCCTCGCAATTCACTGTCAATAGCGGTGTGCGACAGGGCTGCCCTATGTCCCCATTCCTTTTCAACTTCGCAATCGAAGACGTTCTGTCGAATGCTCTAGAAGGTTTCCAACATTTTGGCCTAGAGCTTCTACCGGGTGAGCGCGCGACCGACTTAGATTATGCTGATGATATCGCCTTACTTGGTGACGATCCTCAGCGTATGCAACTCATTCTGGATCGTTTGGCGGTTGAAGCATCTAAGTATGGCATGAGCTTCGCCCCATCGAAGTGTAAAGTACTGCTCAAGGATTGGCTTTCACCTACACCCGTGCTCACTCTCCAAGGTGCACAACTTGAACAGGTAGATAGTTTCGTCTACCTTGGGAGCTGTGTTTCCGCTGACGGCACAATCAACAAAGAAGTTTCGCTTCGTATCGCTAAAGCTCGATCAGCATTTGTCAATCTGAGGCACTTGTGGCGTCGTCGCGACGTCTCATTCTCACTAAAGGGCCGAGTTTACAGCGCGTCCGTTCGCTCAGTATTGTTGTACGGGAGCGAGTCCTGGCCGATTCGCGTGGAAGACATGCGTCGTCTTTCTGCGTTCGATAACGGTTGTTTAAGGAGGATCGCTCGTGTCCGGTGGCAACACCGAGTTACCAGTAATGACGTTCGACGTCGCATCTTGGGGAATGCAAGTATTTCCTTCAACAAACTGGTTTTGTTGCGCCAGTTAAGATGGCTCGGTCATGTCCTACGCATGGCACCTGAGCGTCTACCGCGTCGCGCTCTATTCGCTCGTCAAGGACCTGGCTGGAAGCGACCGCGTTGTGGTCAGCCTTCCACTTGGCGGCAGCACATGAAATCGCTGACGTCGTGTCTAGCCGCTGTTGGACCCGTACGTCTTCCAGGATGGGGACCCAAAGATGGGGAGTGCCAATGGCTTAGGACACTTGAAGACATGGCCCGCAACCGGAATCAATGGAAGAATTGTGTAAAGTGTTGTGTTGATTCACATGTTTAATTCTACAAAAATTGAAAATGACAAAAAAAGAGAAAAACCGGCGTGTGACAAACAAACTAAAAATGTTTTGTTCTGTATTTTTGTCAAAATATTCCATTTTCTTGCGGCATATTAGCTGAAGTGTGTTGCCCACCTTCAACTAGCATGCCATGACGATTATGACGCAATGACTGTCTCTTATACACTGATTTCCATGGTTTTCTTGGCTCTATGTCTAGTTACTAGACTGTTGAGATTACATAAATACATACAAAAAAGGCGTTCGATGTCTAAACCTCGTATGGTTCTGAGGTAAGGCTCAGTTCATTTTATCAACTAAGATTTGGACAACAAATCGTGGTAGATCAAGCTGTCATGATGTACGTAGTCAAGGAAACAGTAATAACAATAATAGCACCAGAATCGACCGGAAATAATATGGCCATATGGATGGGTTGAGGGTAAAAATAGGGAAACGAATGCGAGAGGGCCGCTGATGCTGACATTGCGCTGCTAGGTAAAATTGATCGGGACGCTGAGTAATGGAGACTGCGAAGGAGCTGCCTTGCTGACACCTATTTAACTTCACACGATACCCAACTGTCTGCTACCGTATGTTGCCGACAAGATCTTGTAAGCGCCTAATTAGTTGTCTGGAGCATTCAGGTTTCACAACAAATCCACATTTTCCCATTTGGACAACACGAATAGGCTGTACCAAAACAGTCTTTGGATGCTTTGGGCGCTCACACGCAGCTTCAGCACTTGGTCCGAAGAGATTGCCACTCGCCTCTTCGTTTTAATAATACGACCAATGCTAGAGTACGGCTCTCCCGTATATTTTCCTATTACCGGGGGCGAGGTAGAAAAGCTTGAGCGAGTGCAGCATGTAGCCACGAGGCTGATTCCCAACATACGATGTGTGCCGTACGAAGACCGGTGTAAGAAACTAGGGCTGTACACTCTAGCTTATCGTCGAATGAGGGTTGACCACATCATGACGCACCGGATACTGCATCTGGGTGATTACCCAATGCCGACCGCTGATTTATCTGCGCACACCAAGCTGCACACGAGGACACCGGTATAAGCTTGTCGTACCGGATTTGAAGCGGGTCGCTCACCAAGTATGTTTCGAAAGCAGAATGTATGGAACGACCTGCCGCAGTACGTAATTGAAGCAAAGTTGGTGTAGGAATTTAAGAAGCTACTTGACGAACACTTTGCTGACGCAAAATATATTGAGCGGTACACAATATAATGGGTATTTGTCTATAAGTAATGATTGATGCAGCTACATAGAGCAATCTTTACTTGCTGCTTGCAACCAGTATTCAGTATTTAGTATTCATAGCAATCCTCATAAAGTAGATCAATCCTCTTGCATATCAGTGACAATGTAATGCTGTTGAAGATGAAGAGGATGCTTTGATTAATATCAATAAACAACAGCAGGTGTAACAAAGCGACATGACCAATGGGAGAGTTATCACCATAAGCCGTCATAGCGTCTGTGGGTAAGCACTTGTAGGAAATGACTTCAGGAGAATGTGATCCCAGGGTGATCAGTTAAAACACACTAAAATACGCAAGTCAGAAATACATGAAAAACAGTCACCAAACCTGCCAATACAATGCAAAGGCTATTATACAAATTTCTTCGCAAATTATGGAAAGTAAAATCTACACGAATGCAGTGGTCAAAACTACCAGACGTGATCGCAGAAAATAGTGAGGAATGTCAAGGCCCACAGGAGTCGGGCATGTTTTCTTTAAGTCAAAAGACCGTCGCCAACCTTTAACTTAGACAAAAATTGAAACGAATCCGGTTTGTGCACGCCAAATACTAACATGAAAGCGCAGAAACATTTTTAAGAGAATAGCCTGTCATTAGTTAACTGCATTTGCATTGAAGGAATAAATACCAAAAATGATTTATTGCGTACAAATTTCCAGAGATTGCTTTATATAGTGTAGGCTACACGACAATTAACGAAATAGACAGAATTCAGTGGCAGAATACAAGTCCAGGACCAGCAGGTATGAGAACAGGTACGCCAGAGCCGGGAACAAGCACCCAGTCGAAATACGTGCCTGCATTCCTGAACACGAATTGCGCAAAAGCAATAGTAAGGTCTTGGCTGTACAGAACGTGATCAAACATTGTGACCGTTCTGTAACAACAAGCGGGATTCCGGTTTCGTATGACCCAGTGCATGTTTCGCCGCAATACTCTCTCCTGTGAGTTACAATCAGACATGTGAGAGAGAGAGAGCTAACAGAAACTCGTTTCAGCCAAGCATTTATTATGTCTCTGCTGTCTTTTCGAACGTCAGTAAATGATTTAATCTTAAAATTTTCCTGATCCAGCTTTGAACAATGTTTTATGCAGATCATACCAACACTGCAGTGTCTCGGATCGTCGGGAAAAAGTTTATTTATTAAGTACTGACTTGAACAACACAGTCCAATCGCGAAGCAAAGCATACACACAACGATCGCCTTTTGTATGAAAACCTCATGTGGTTGCCCGTTAGGGAGATATGCAAAACAATTAGAGTAGCTAACGGTTGCTCGTAAAAACTACCCCCTTCAACACGACCAAGATGAAAACCTGATTAAGGTAGCGAACCTGTTTAACACTGAGTTTCAGGACAAAATCGGCAACTTTTCGATCCCAACTGTTTGAATTCAGAGGGTCAACTAACCGCCAAACCAAGTCGAAGCGGCTGAGCAGCGAGGTAGGAAGTCCGATGTCACCCATCTGCAAATCGAAGCCAGAAGTGGGATTTGCGGCGGCCAGAACCGAACAACGACAATTTAGTCGGGTGACCAAACCGGCCTTCGCCAAGCTGATAGTCTGTTGTTCCATTGCCTCGTGTACGGAGGAGCGATGAGCGCCATGCAGAGAGGTAAACTCATCAATGGCACACAATCCACCATCGGCCAAAACAAGAGCACCAGCATCGAGGCTCCACCCATCGGGACCTCGGATAGCGGAGGCGGTCAAACCGGCAGCAGTGGTCCCTGTCGCAGCGGTGAGCACTCCACGGTTGCTTAGATTGGTGGCTGCACGTAGCAGTACTGATTTGGCTGTTCCTGGGTCGCCGATCAATAAGAGATGAGGACTGCCACGTGTACGAGGTCTCAGATCAGTCGGAGCAGCGATTTGATCGGCTTCAACAGAGGAGAAATGATAACTGAACGTACAATGTGATCACCGGGAGCAAAAAACCAAGGCCAAGCACAATGAAAATAGCAGGTAAAAAGCATAGAAAAATTTCGTTGAGACCAGCACCAGATTCACCAAGACTTACGCGCTGAAGAGCTCTGCTCCGGAGTGCCTGCCAGAATTAATGCAAGAGACAGTTTGATGAGGTACATGCCACAGACCTCCGGGCAAATACTTCGGATCAAAATATTCCGACCTTCCAAAGCCTGCTCAAAGGTGGAGTATCGTGACCAAAAGGTTTCAAAATCGTGGATACGATCACTTGGCAAACGACTGGAAGTGACGCCTGCTCTAAGTTCGGATAAATTTTCCACAAAATTGGCTTTGATCCACAATGAAATATCACACGGAGCACCAAGCTTTGGGAGGTGCCATTGTCGCATCACAATCCCGTTGATAACGACATCATCGCCTGGTTTTACACATTCAAGTAAATCATCTTCAAGACAAACACGTATCGATCGGGGCATCACACCCACAGAAAGTGATCTGAATGGCTCGTGAACGCGTATTTCCTGGTAGTTCTTTGCATAAAACACTCCTTTAGATAGTGGTGCAAAGGAGGTTGAGTTACACGGTGATTCAGGATTTGGACAACGCCGAGGAATTTTCGGAATAAAAGCATTTTCAAAATCCGCATCAACAAACAAGCGATAACCGCATTTCGAGCACACATACGCTGTGCGTCCCTCTAAAACCTGAACCGGACCCACGCGGCTGACGGTACCTCGCAGAGCAATAAACTTTCCGACATCGGAAGAATAGGGAATAGTGGTTCTATGGACCTCGGGAATGACCGGAAGAGCTGTAAGACGAACATGAACATTTGGAATCCGGGCGGGTATGGCTTTATCGCCGATATCAGTGTCCAAGGCGCTGACCAGCCCCTCGTCCAGCAATTGAATGGTGCCTTGGGGTTTGGTCAGAAGCAGTTCAGAGAAAACACTGCTAAATTCACACAGACAGTTGAAATGCACAACCAATGCAGCATGCACATGAGGGGGATGGGTCGCGATGTGAATCAAATCACTCCGATGCTCACGAAGTAGATATTCTTTGAAGAGTGAAATGACATAGTTACGGCGCTTTTCATCCTTCTCTTTGAGTTTCATGTGACCTTGGAGACAACTCTGAGAAAGTTAATCGATCTAAAATAAAAGGAGTGTTGAGCGAAAAAGAGTGATGAAATCAGTTCAAGAAACTTGCTTAATGAGAAGGGAAGTGATTCAACACGGCCTAGAATAACCCAAATCACGAACAGTTGGAACGACACCTAAATCGCCTAGACGGCCCAAACGAAGTAACGGAGAAGGTCCCATTGTATATTCTATGCAATGTGTTGTGATAATTAGTAAAGTGATTCATGGAGGCTGAGTTCGAATGCAAAAGGTAACACAAAACGCGGATGAAACATCCGTGAAGGAATACCACACTAGAGGAGACCACGGTGGTATGAGACGCGACGAATGTGTCCAGAAGAAACGAATAATAGGTTGAATATGCATAGAATGATGCAGAGTTACATGAAAATAGGTCAGCCGGTAGCCGAAAGGATAACACATTTGCCGTGTAAGCTGGAAATCACGATTCCAATTCAACTAAGTGTTGGGGACCTTGCGGTATACCACCCCTGATAGCTCGCGACCGGTGGTGGTCGCGTGGCAGCGGAGCGTCGGTACGCGAGGTGCCAGCGTAGTCCTGATGCTTTTATTTCTCTCTCAATTAGATTAGTGATATAATATCAATAACAAAAGTCGAAGAAGTTGAATGCGAGTTCAAAGGTCTGTGTTGGGGACTGACAAATGTGCGAAACCAGCACCGAGATTTTCGCCACAACGTGCTTATGGTATGGAGGTCATTAGGGAACATTGCTGAAACGGCCTCAATCACACATAGAGAACCCGAAGTGAAGCTACCGAGATGGCTTGCAGTGAAGACCACGGATCCAATCCGAGATGTGTCGGCTTCAGCACTGCGAAGATGGTCCACATAAATGGTAACGTGAGAATATTTGTAACTCTTCTAGCATACCAAAACTGCGTTTTTCATTCGATACACTTGTTCAGACAACTTGATCAACATGATCGGCAGAGAAGAAGACGAGTGAAATAGGCGGATTTGTTTTCCCGGTACAATAAACCAGACAAGAGGATTGGATTTCCGAACGACCTACGCTTGATATGTGACCCAACGACATACTGTCCAGACGTTCTAGTGCCAGTGATACAATAATTGTACTCGACTTAAAACACGATAGATGCATCCTTCATCGTCATCATCATTAAGTACATCCGCAGTACGTTAGTCATGTTATAAAATTACACACATGGAATTGGTAGAACACATGGTTGCGAAGGGTACACTTTTTGATATATATCGTCAAGCCTATCCTATTCCAACATTCCATTATATAAATGTAAACGCCTGATGATTTAACAAAAAATTTGATAAAACTATGAGGACCTGAAGATTAGGGGTGTAGTGGAAAACACAAACGCTCTAAGCAAACATTTAGGGGAAGAACGCTCACAACTTGTCAACAATACACCGTCACAAACAGTCGGCTATTATGCGAAGTTAAAGCTGGATCTATGGCGAAGAAAAAAGCATCAGCGGTACTATTAATGTATTCGTCCTAGCAGCTCACAAGCTACATAGCTCAACAACAATCTGGAGAAACACCAGACCCGTTTCGCTCTGTTGGGGCTCGTCAGTAGTGTGCATTCCCTCGGTCCTCTACTGGTCATCGAACCAGTGACTGCTAGAGGCAGACGCCAACTAGTCAGCAGCTTAAGCCACTGAGCCATGAGGGACGTCGGCTGGACTACACAACTTGCAAGCTGATTGGGATATAGCACGACCTATCTTCCAATGCCAGGCGGGTTACTACCTTAGCAGATGACAGTGGTCAGCCTCCAAAGGTCATGACTTCCTCTCAATAGACGCTACGTCCATAGCATTTGAAACTAGGAGAGGTTACATTTTATATTACTAATGAGTAGGAGGATTTTTAATTGTTATTATCATGCTTTCGTCCCAGTTGCTCACAAGCTACAGGAAATATTCCTTACACGTAGATGAATCTACTTTAGTTGATAACGACGCTCTTCTCGCAACGTATGCCCGATTCTGCAATGATAATGAATTAGTGGAAGAGATGCCGTTTGCCAGGATAATGAAATCTCATACAAAGGGCCACACTATATTTGAAGTAGTCAGTAGCTATCTGACTGAAAACTCCATCCCAATGCAGAACACAGCCGTATGTGCAACAGATGGTGCTGCCGAAATGGTCGGAAGATATAAAGGATCCATTGCCTATCTAGAAACGTTCTGCCGTCTTTACATTGAGTGATTCCTACAGCGTGCATAGTGACTAAGAAATCGGGAGGGCGCTTAAGCGATTCACTCTTATAATAGTAGTCAACAATATCAAATCGCGCCCTGTTCCTACTCGTCTTTTCCAGCAGTTGTGTGAGCAGAACAGTGGCAATTTCCAGTTTCTATTGTTACATACAGAGGTTAGATGGCTCTTAAAGGGAAACTGTCTTCACCGTTTTGCTGCACTCTGGGACATTATAATCACATTCCTTTCTGGAATTGATTATGAAAGAAAACTGGTAACATCTGCGCCATACGTATTTTATCTGGCCGGTGTTTTTGAAAAAACTGAACATGTTAAATAAAACAGGACAAATTTAGTAATCTCATCTTAAGCACAAAATCCATTATCGCTTAACTTAAAAAGCTGAAACTGTATGCTCGAAATATCGGACGTAGCGCATTTTCACAGTTCCCAATTCTCGCTACAGTCACGGAGGAGCTGAAGATTTTGAATGTTAATGCCAGTTATTTATAACGAATCCGAACAGAAATGAAATACAGGTTTCATGACCTGATTGACATAGGAATCTCGATTTGGATTTCGGAGCCATTTGAAGTATAGCACTGCAACTTTGGAGTTGAAATCCAGAAAATTCCTATAGAGCTTAAAAGTAACACATTAGCAAGATCTAAATTCACGCAATGTAAAAAGGATTTTTGGATATAGACTGATACCCTTAACGTTTGTCCCAGACTGTGGGAGATAGGATATAGTACGACCTATCTTCTACTGTCAAGCAGGTTACTACCTGTGCAGATGACACTGGCTAGCCTCTGAGGTCATGATGTTCTTTCACTAGATCCCATGTTCATAGCATTTGAAACTAGGAGAGGCTACACTTTATGTTACTTAAGAGTTGGCATTTGTTGCAATTTTAGTGTATTCGTCCCAGCGACTCACAAGCTATATAGCTCAGCCACAATCCGGATAAGCACCAGACGCGTTTCGTCCAATTAAGGCTCGTCAGTGGTGCGCATTACCTCGGTCCCTTGGTCATCTGCAAAAGTAGTAACCTGCGTGGCAGTGGAAGAAACAGGGTGGCGCACGAAATGTCATCCCATTTGTTTTGTTCAGTACACATGTATTTATCAGCAAAATATTACAAAATTAGTGCAGAATTCCTGGTAAGAGCATAGAAATTTAGTTCAATGTAGTACGTATTCAATGTGATCACTATTTGATTTCACAACCACTTGCAAGCGAACCTTTACTTTTGCCACAATCTTCCTGCAAATGTCTTCCGAAATTAGACGGCACAAATCCATGATGAGAGCCCTGAGTTGAGTTGTAAGGGAACATTTGAAGATCAGAATCAGAATCCTATGTATGGACCGACGAGATATTCCTAACTCAGCAGCCGTCCTCTTTGTTGACTTGCTAACACTTCGTGTCAAAGCAACACGAACTGCTTCCACGTTTTCAGGGGTGCGGACACTTGGTCTGCACCGTCGATCCTTCTCCACCACAGAGCCATTTGTTTCAAATTGACGATACAACCTCTGAATAGTCTGTTGACATGCAGCCCATTTTGTAGGAAAGTATGAAGCAAAAGTCTCTGTGTCGCTGCAAAACTCCTCGTTTCTGTAAAATCATTACAACTGTCACCTTCTGTTCAACACGCAATCTGCTCTTCAAAAATTTGTTTTGCGCCAAGAAAACATTCCATACTAACTTCGTGGCATCTACCGGATTTCTCATAAGCTAAAGTATCTGAATACGAGTTTTCAACATTACATCACTAATATTACATGTGTAGTGAACAAAACAAATGGTATAATTTTCATGCGCCACCTGTAGCTCGTGGATATATCCCAGCTAGCATGCAAATTATGTAGCCCAGCCAACATCCCCCATGGCTCAGTGGCTGAGGCTGCTGCCTACTTGGCCTCAGCATCTAGCTGTCATGGGTACGAGTCCCATTAGGGGACCAAGGAAATGCGCACCATTGACGAGCCCCAATAGGGCGAAACGCGTCAAGTGCTTTTCCGGATTATGATTAAGCTATGTAGCTTGTGCGCTGTTGGAAGGAATATATATATATATTGATCACAATCTGTGTACAGATATTGTGCCATCGGAACCATGGCGGAATGGGAAAACAAAGTTAAGGTAAATGGTCAAAGAAAATAAATAAGTACTTATGAGTAGAAGGATTTTGGCGAGTATTTTTGTTCGTCGCAGTCAGCCAACAATTCAGATAAGTCAACTACCTATCCGGCTGACTGCGACCAACAAAAATACTCGCCAAAATCCTTCTACTCATAAGTAATACAAATTCACCCATACGGATTCCATAAGTGCTATGTCGATTCATGGCTGCCGTAATCGGGAAGTCCTGACGCCGGAACGCCAACCGCTGTCATCTGCATGGCAGGCGCCTGCATGGCAGTGGAGGATGGGTCGGGCTACATCGCAGTTAGCTAAGAATTTGTGATGGTCGGCTGCCGTCCAGCATGACTCAGTTGCATAAGCTGCGGGCTAGTTGGCACAAGCCACTAGCAGTCATGGGTTCGATCCTCCGTAGAGGCCCGAAGGATGCGCACCATTGACGAGCCCCAATAGGGCGAAACGGCCGCCTGGTGCTTTTCCGGATACCTAGTTGACTTAGCTGAATTGTCGGCTGACTGCGACGAACAAAAATAAGCAATGTTTGTCCATATTTTTACTCGCAGGTTTTGAGTTTTTTGATGTTCTTATCGGGGGTGGGAAGGGGATGATCCATCCGGGGTTCCTCAGTGGGGGAGATACTGCCCGGTTGCCCAGG